CCCCAAAAAAAAAATAAAATAGGGGTGTCGAGCACAATATCAATAAAGTACACATTAACTTAAGAAGTTCTTTTACTGAAATTTCAAGGGTTGAGTGCGGTTGTATTCTGAAATTTGGTTTCCACCAAGATAAGATTTTCACATGCATTAAGTTAAAATACATTTTCAGTTGAATCATTCACGGACTGAACAAACATTGTCTTTAATAATGGAAAGCGATTAGCACTTAGCAGAATAAAGCTATTAACGAAGCATAGATATACACTATCTCTTAACTTATCAATAGAACTTTTCTACCTTAACGAAGAATATTTTAAGAGAAAGAATGAGCGTGGTCCAAATAGGAACATGGTTTCCTGTGGAAGCAGGACACTTTTTGGTGGAATTGTCTTAATGGATGGAGCCTGCTGTTATACGAGTTCTTGAAAAGTGAAAACCCACTAGCTTTTGTATTAAAAATTACTAAATATTTTTTACTATTTGATTATAAATCCAATTATTATTGTTAACTTGAGATAGCCATCGAAATTTATAAATATCAAATCTTGAATCTTCCCCTACTTCTTACTTCATCTACTCCCATTGTGGACCTAACACTAAAAAAGTATTCTTATTTTGAAAAAAAATAATTTGAAAACTATACTCCTATTTGTTGAAGCACTGCATCATTCGTTCAAGTGGATGAAATCTGCAATTTAGAAAGAATGACACGAACTACAATGCCAATTGGGTAGTCACGGGTGTGTTTTCTGTACCTATTGGTCGGTCTTGTGATACCCAAAATTTGATAAAATATCAGTCCACAAACACTATAAACTTTCAAGAAAATGTCTAGACAAAGTTCTGCAAAGTAATTTGAGCCAGAATCTCTCTGCTTTAAATTATTTGCCACCTTTATTCCAGGCTAGCATTAGTTCACATGTCTGCATGCATGCCAAATTCTAGGGTTCATATGCCTCCACGAATTTGCCTATAAATACGCACTTCATTTTCTCTACACTAAACCTAAAAAATAGTACTCCGTACTAATATACAAAACATAAATCCTCTGCTTCGTTATGGATTCAAAGAGATACTTAGTTACTCTCTTTTTACTCTTTAACATTCTTTTCTTTACCCTTGTAAGTGGCTGCTGGAGTGGCTGCAATAATAATCCACCAACTCCAAAACCAAATCCGAACCCGAACCCAAATCCTAACCCTAGCCCATCAAAGGGACACTGCCCTAGAGATGCCCTAAAACTAGGTGTTTGTGCCAAGGTGCTGAACGGACCCATCGGAGCCGTCATCGGAACCCCACCGGACATGCCTTGTTGTTCCGTACTAGGTGGACTTTTGGATCTTGAAGCTGCAGTTTGCCTTTGCACTGCACTGAAAGCCAACATTCTTGGAATCAACATTGATATTCCCATTGCACTAAGCTTGCTTATTAATACTTGTGGGAAAAGCCTACCATCTGACTTCACTTGTGCCTAAGCTATAATGCTTCTCTTTTGAGTCGCCACGAATAAGTTTTATTGACAGGACTATTCTTAACGACCATTTAGGTTGGCACAAAAAAAATTGTGATGATTTCTTTATTTTCTGTGGTGATTAAAGTCTCATTGCTTGTATGTTTGATGAATTATTTCCCTTTGTTGTTTTAGCATTAGAGGAATTTGTTTTTCATTTTAGTTTGTTGAAGTTCATGTTGTATTTTAGTTCTTTGTTGTTAGGACTTAGGAATGAGCACTTGATAATTCGTACGAAGAGATTGTTCTTCCATCTCCTTAGTAATTCACTAGTGCTTCCTTTATTGACTTGATGAATTTCTAATTCACCAGTGGCTTCTATTTCTCCTTTATTTTGTGTATCCTCTTGCTGGTATTTTCACTGGTTTGGGAGAATAAGTGGATTAGTGCACGATAATTGATATGCTTGGAGCTACTCCCTCCGTTTCACTTTGTTGTCATAATTTAACTTGGCACAAAATATAATAAAGCATAAAGATTTTTTCAATTTATGGTCCTAACAAATATTCCATAACATTTGTGGATATACATTTTTTTTAAAATTTGTGATTTTAAACATGGCATATACAATATTTGTATGGCTATAAAAGTTTTTTCTTAAGAAAATATTGAAATATATCATTCTTTTAAAATGAATTAATAAAAAATAGTGCCAAATAAAATTGAGCAAACGAAGCATTAAATTTGAGCCATCTTAGTAAGAATAAAACAAACAGAACAGAGTACTGTGCATAGAATGTCGAATTAGTTTCCGCGTGCATGGGTGCATGATGCCTACAAGGAAGAAATCGTCTTTATTCCATCTATCTCAACATAGACTCTTTTGCTTCACAAGATTAATCTAAGTGAGTAATTTTAATTGATATTTAAAGGTGCCCTTTTTGTCACTTTTATATGAATGAAATTTACAACTTGTAATACTTTTTATCTACATTAATTTCTTATATCTAACTATAGCATAAAACTTAAATTGCTTAGTCCATTTTATTATGGAATAATAATAGTGATCAAAATAACACAAATGAAAATACTCCCTCCAGTCCTTTTTATATGTCACTTCAGCTGAGAATTGTTTCAAATATTTGTCATTTTAGAAAATCAAGACAAAAAAACTGTTTTCTCCATATAATTTTATTCTTTTTACACCAAGAAGGCATATTATCATTAATTACTCATTTAAGGAAAATATAAGGGTAATTTAATCATATACTAGAATTTTGGACCCATAATACAAGGAAGCAACTGAATTTTAATTCCGGTAAGTGTCATTTCATGAGAACCGTATTTGTGGATGGTCATGGTTTTTAAGAGAGGAGAAAAAGGTAAGAAGAGAGGAGAAGTTGTCTCTCATTTCTCTTCCATAAATTAAATTTTGGGGAGAAAAAGAAAAGAGAAGAGGAAAACGAGTGGGACAGAGTCATCAATAAAAAAAATGTTAAGCTTGATCTAAAAGTCACTGGAATTCGGTGAATAGAATTTAGAGTTTTAACAAAATATATATTCCTTTGGTCGAAAATGTAACTAAAATGGTAGACTAACCTCCATTATTGGCGGACCTTGAGCTCACAAGGCAAGAGGAAAAGAAGATTCTAGAGAGATGATAGAAATGGAGAAAATTCTGTATATTTTTTACTTAGCTAAGTAGTGTACTTATACGCGTGAAAGAAAAGAAATAAGAAAGTACAACTGCTAATTATCAGACTACCCATGTAACTAATTTGCTAACCGTCTAAACTAACTAACTACCTAATGAACTCAATTACAATACAAAACAAATAAATACAATACAACAACATATAACAACTCTATAATCTCAATACCCCCCTCAAGTTAGAGGTGAGGCACTCACTGCCAACTTGCTGAGGAGATCTGAGTGCTTGATCCATGTGAGACCCTTTGTTAAAATGTCAGCTACCTGATCATGAGTAGAAATATGGTGAAGTGTAATCTGACCATCATTCAGCTTGTCTCTCACAAAGTGTCAATCTAATTCTATATGCTTTGTCCTCTCATGAAACACAGGATTCCTAGCAATGTGCATAGCTGCTTGACTATCACAAAAAACTGGAATAGGATCACTACATGAAACTGTTAATTCTTCTAATAACCTCTGCACCCATTCCAACTCTCCAACCACCTTTCTCAATAATCTGTATTCTGCTTCTGCAGAAAACAATGAAACAGTAGTCTGCTTCTTTGATTTCAAGCTAATGGGACTACCTTCAAGGAGTACAAGATACCCACTTACAAACCTTCTTGAATCAGGACATGCTGCCCAATCTGAATCAAAGTAAGTTCTGACTTTGTAAGAAGGATCATTGGACAGAAAGATGCCTAGAGTAAGATCACCCCTTAGGTACCTAAGCACATGCACATCAGCCTTAAGATGAGGCTCTCTTGGCACTTGCATAAATTGGCTTAAGTGTTTTACACTGTATGCAATATCCAGCGTTGTGTTTGTGAAGAAGTTGAGCTTTCCAACTAGCTTTCTATAATAAGATGGATCAGGAAGTAAGGTACCTTCTTCAACTTTCATTTTGGTTGATGAATCAAGAGGAGATAAAACATATGAGTACCCCAGACAATCATACTCTTTCAATAGGTCAGTGCTGAACTTTTATTGGGAAATCAACACTCCATAATACTTATAGAGCATCTCTAGCCCCAAGAAGTAGTGTAACATGCCTAAGTCTTTTATTCTGAACTGATTGTGTAAATAAGTCTTCAGTGCTTTGATTTTCTCAAAATCAGTCCAGTGAGGATCATATCATCAACATATACATTATACAACTACAAAGACTGATGAATTACCCTTCATTTTATAAAATAGGGAGTAATCATTATTTGAGTGTTTGAAACCTCTAGAATACAGGGACTCTGTCAGCTTATCATACCTCTGTCTACTGGCTTGTTTGAGGCCATACAGAGACTTTCTTAGTCTGCACACAAGTTGTGTGTTCTCTACCATCAGGCCCTGTGGGATTTCCATGTACACTTTTTTATGTAGATCTCCATGGAGGAATGGATTATTCACATTCAACTGGTAAAAATCACATCCTTTCTTCCCTACAACGCTGATCAAGGCCCTAACAATAGTCATCTTCACCATTAGGGAAAAAGTTTTTGTATAGTCAATCCCAGCTTCCTGTGCATATCCCTTCACCACAAGTCTTGCTTTGTATCTTTCCACACTTCCATCTGCTTTGTGCTTTATTTTGTACATCCATTTGCACCCTATGGATTTTTTTCGTGCATGCAACTTAACTAAATCCCAAGTATGGTTAGTATATAAAGTCTCAAATTCTTGTGGCATTGCTACTTGCCAGGCAAGATTCAAAGATGCCTCCTCATAAGAGTATGATTCACACTCATGAAATATTTTTAACTAGTTGGTGATTGTCGTGGCTCAGTGTATTGAAAGACACATAATGGTTGTTAGAGAAAAGAATAGTAAGTGAATTGGGGGTTAATTGATGTTCAAGGTTTATATTGTTGCTTAAGTGATTTTCTGGTTGCAGATTGGGCAATGTATAGACATGGTCGTTGATGTGTGAAGGGGTACTGAGGGTCCTGTATGATCTTCTATGTTGTGTAGTGTTTGGTTGATTAACATTGAGTTCTGTGTCTGATGAATGTGTGCCTTTAGATATAGGACTATTAATGACAAAGTTAATGCTTCTCTATTATGATTACAATGATCATCAGGTGCGATCATTGTAGGATTGGGACATGAAGAGTTATAGCTTATCATGCAATACATAAGGAAAAGAAGAATGCTCGCGTGAAATGGTAAAAGGGAAAACATCTTTATAAAACACAACATCTCTAGACACATGTACTCTTTGTGGCTAAGTCAAGGACCTTATATCCTTTGGTTCCAAAAGGATACCCTACAAACACATGGGGAATGGCTCTTGGTTCAAATTTGTCTTTGTGAGGTTTAAGTGTGGTGGTATAACACAAGCAACCAAAACTTTTAAGGTATGAATAAGTTGGTTTTCTGTTATAAAGAAGCTCAAAAAGGCATTTGTTGTTGAGATTTGAAAAGCGCAGTCTATTTATCAAGTATGTAGCAGTTAGTATATACTCTCTCCGGTATCTTATGGGAAATCTAGTCTGATAAAGTAAGAGTCTAGCTGTTTCTAGTAGGTATTTGTGTTTTCTTTCAACCACATCATTTTGTTACGGTGTGTATGGACAGGTTTTTTGGTGAATTATGCTCTTTTCTTGAAAGAACAACATAGCCTCATTGTTTACAAATTCCAGTTCATTGTCAGACCTAACAGTCTTAACTGAGGCACTAAACTGATTTTCAATCATGGAAACAAGAGCCTTGATGGCTTGAAGAATGTTACTTTTGCTACTTAGAAGGTATGTCCAGGTTGATCTGCTAAAATCATCAACCATGGTAATAAAATATTTGTAATTGTCATGTGTGGCTATGTGATAGGGACCCCATAAGTCTATGTATAAAAGTTTAAATATTTTGGTGGTGGATGAAGTTCTCTGGAGAAAAGGCAACATTGCTTGTCTTGCCATGGGGCAGACAGAGCAAATGAATGGCTGTTTGGGGGAAAAGTTAGCAGGTGTAGAGGAAAGCACTCTCATTTTCAGCAGGGTAAATGGCCTAGACTACTATGCCATAGATGTTCAACACTCTTTTTATAAGATGTAGAAGACAACATAAGAGAACTCACATTAAATGAAGAGTCAACTTTATTGCTTGAATAAAGAGTATTTACATTGTTGTGTGAATGTGATGACATATTTACATTTGACAGAGAGTGAAGGTAGATTGCGACTCTTTCCTGTATTCACAACATCAGTTAATGCGGGAAAACAAAAATGAGAAAAAAAAAGATTAACAGGAACAGAAGCTAAAATAGACTCTGAACAACTGTGACATTTAGGGCAAATGAAGTACAAGCTACTCCTTGCTTTATCAATTTTCAGAGGCCTCTTCAATGAAGGGGCCAACATCATACAAAGGTTCAGTTGGGATAATCTGTCAAGGAATGAATAGAAATGAGGTTTTATTTGAAACTAGGCATATAGAACACTTTGGCTAAGGTTAACATTGGACCAAGAAATGTATCTCCATTTTCTGTCACTTTCACCCTATATCCGCTAGGTAAAGTAATTATGAAAGGATAGGAAAAGGTTCTAATATTCTTTAGGAAGGATTTTCTATATGTCATATGGCTTGAAGCTCCACTATATAGTATCCACAAGTCAGCAATTGATTTAGAAAATCTACACACAGTTGTTTCAGCAATCTCTTTATAGGTAGAACGAGCCAGAATACCTGCAAAATTTGCAGCTCCACAAGTTA